TTTTTTTTTTTTTTTTTTTATGGCTTTTTTGTGTGTTAGTTTGTTTTTGAATATTGTGAGTGGCTTAGGTTTCACCAGCTCACCTTCAGCACAGTCTTACCCTTAACTGAAAGTCCTACAAGTCCTACAGTTCCCATTTGAGAGAGCAGTGTGTTTCAATTTCCACTGTGCAACCAGGTGGCCTAATGTAAAATCACCTGCTTTTATTCCAAGGCTACACAGAAGAAAAAGAGAGATCAGCTGGCCTCTAAAATTGCCCTAATTTATACATCCACATACTTTGAAAAAGCATAGCACAAAATTAGAGGTGCCTGTGTTCCTGCCACAAGAATGCCCCAGCCATTACAGAATATCCTGTAATTGTCCCAAAAAGCAGGGAATGCCTGTTTGTTTTAAAGAAAGCTTTGAAAAATGCCTGTGCAATTCTTTCCCTCACAGAAGTGTGGTCCAAGTGAACTGAGAAAGCGGCAGGTATCAGTGGGTCATCTCCACTTTCTGTACTCTCTAATATTCGTCAAGCATAGTAATCTCATTCCCAACTGTTCCTTACGTCATACAGAACAAAACAATGCAAGAATCCATTTTAAAAACATTAATGTCTTTCACGGAATCCAACTATTTTGCTACAGATAAGCTGTTTGGCTATTTTATCCATGTGCATGGTATTTGTGTGTGAGATTTGCCCTGTCAAATGCCCCGAGGGATTAATTCCCAGAGTCTAAAGTCCCAGGAGTGGACTGCGTCCGGAGCTCTCAGAAGAGCTGTCTTGCTTTTCAGTGTTCTAAATCCCCCAGGGCGATTCCACAGGCAGCAACCTCCGGGCAGGACTAACCTCGGGAGGAAAAGAACACACAACACAGGGTGAGTGTGTCAGCAACGGCAGCTGACGCAAACAGAGACACCTTCACACTGGGAAGTCACGAAATCCATCAGTGCTGACTGAAGTATTTTGGGCTTGTCAAGCGTCATTGTTTTGGACTTCTCCTGACCTCGCTTAGCAGAACGGTGCCACCGCCTGTAAGATTTTTCTTCAGTATTTGCCTGCTAAGTAGCTCTGTAGGCATTTGTTTTCTCTCATCAAATCATTAAATGGCAATGCAGTTGTTAGTTCGCCTTGCCCAATTCGAATACATTTTGCAGCCAGAAACCATTCCCAGTTCATTAAGTGCCTGACCTCAGCATTAACACCCCTTCTGCTCGGGTTGCCTTGGAAACAAAGCTTCCTGTGCGTAATCCAAGCTTATCTAGCTCTTTATCCTACATGTGACCCTTAATTACTTGCTAAATTAGAATGGTTTTCTGAAAATCACAAGAGGAGGTTAATATGGTCTCCAGAGCTGGTCAAGCTAAGATGACACCAAATTCACAGGGAATTCAAATTCCATGATCCCTGAAGGCGTCTCTTTCAGAAGGAAGATGAACTTTCCCAATGGGAGGCAGTGTGCCATGATAATGCTCCTGTCACTCACTTTCCTTGCCCTGCTTGTCCAGACCCAGCTTAATCCAGTGTGATCAACGGAGTAAGTAAATATCAGGTTGATTAATTACAGTGCAAGATTCAGTAACAACTTGTCTTCTGTAATTAACATTGTAATTGAAATTAAATAATACACTTTCACACACCGATTGCTGGCCTAGGAGTAGGAGAATCCTCAAGGGAGATGAAGCACAGAAAAAGAAGGCTCAGTATATTAATTGTCTTTTTTAAATTGTGGTACATCTTAAGAAATTCTTCTGTCAAAAAAAATAGGTTTTTTTGAAGGCTGGATTGATGATCTTAGAAGTCTTTTCCAACCTTAATAATTTTATTACTCTAAAAAAGAAAAATGTCCAGATGTCTTGGAGTAAAGGTTAAAATGGGTTGGATTGTTGAAGAATAGCTTAAAACTTCTGAAAGTCCACCTTCCTTTCACTGTTTTGATAAACAGACATAATGAGAAAAGATAATGCTCTCTAAGATGCCCAGTGCTTTTCCTATCCATTGTTTCCAGGGGCAACTCAAGGACAGTGAATCTTCGGGTTCAGTAAGTGTCTTTATAAAGCTGTGCTAAGGCTCAAATGCTAAGGCATGGTCTCAGGAAAAATCAAAAGTAAAATCCTCTGTGACTTCCACAGAACATTTAATTAGCTGCATATGTATTAAAGCACAGCCAGTGTAAAAAAACTCAGTCTGTTTCAGCATTCCCATCTATTGTGACACAGAAAATAATTCTGCCTGTGTGCAAAGGCTTGCTTTCAGAGATATTTATAAAAATCATGAACTGATCACTGAGACAGGAGGAAACCAGACAGGTCTTGCATTTCTGCTCAAAATCCTCAAGTTCAACACAAGATACCTCAAATGTTTATTAGCATAAGCAGTGGTGCTCCAAACACTTTTTAGGAGAGTTCATTGACTGGAACCTAATTTTTCCTTTTTTCTCCTCTGCCCTTTCCAGTGTGGGCTTGTTAGTGTGTCTAAATGCTTAGAGCTCTGGAGGCTGAAGGGAGAGATTTATAGTTACTGTGTGTTTACAGGGGTTTTGACTTCCCTGATGAGACTTATGGAAAATAAAATGGCATTTTTATAAGAATAATGACAGAGAAATAGTACTAACTACTTCCAGGCAGAATTTGAGACAATTAAGGTATTTCATTTGTTACGATTGTACAGAATTATGATTATACAGATTATCAACCTGCCAGTGCTCCCAGTCCCTGACAATCCAATTGTGTTTCAGGCCAGTGGGCCATTTTCTGTTCTCTTTGCTGAGCCTTCATTTCCCTGTTACTGGGTTTGAATTCAAATGTAATTTTCAGGACAGACTTCAAGTTCTTAAAAATAGAAAACATTTTTGTTTCTTCTAGTGAGCTCATGTAGCAAAAGAATTTGAAGAGACTTAACTTGAAGAGTCTAAACTGCTAACATCTATAATTTTGGGAGTCTCTAGATGTTTTTCCTGCATGTCACAGTGGATTGAAGGGCAGCTTTCCATGCCTGGGAAGAAGACTTTTAAAGGAGTTTCCATTTTCAAAAGAGATTTTACAAATCCTCCATGCACAATTGTCAAGACAGTATCTATGCCGATGCCTCTAAGTTACAAAATTTTAGCCTGCTTTCACATGTGTGGGTGAGTGGGTAAGAGGGAATTGTTTCAAGGCTTGTGCTTTTGTGTTTCTAGTCTCCTTCAGCATGGTTCTGGTATTTTATAGGCATTAATTCTGAGGTTACTGGCAAATGGAGGAAGTAGACAGGAGAGGGCCTCATACTGTTCTGTTTGGACCCCTGATGCACACGCCATTTTATCCTGCTGAAGTAATTCTAGAATTTTACCTCAAAAATTACTTTACAGATCTTTAAAGAACAGAAAAAGAGCTGAGTTTCCTATGTCTAGAAAGCTGCCAAGAAGAGACTCCCAATTCCCTTGACATCTCCCACATATGTGTCCTAAAAAAGCAAAACAGATTCATAATCAGGGGTTTAGAATATTGTTGGATGGAAGCCACTATACAAAACAAAACATCAAGCACTTTTTTCTCTATAGAAACAAGTGTTACCTGGTCAAGAATACTTAATATATTTATATATAGAAATTCTAAAATTTACCTCAGAAACCTTTTGCTTGCCAAGTCTCATCTGGTCATATATTTGCATACTCATCTGTATAACTGAAAAAGTGAGAATGTAAGGTTTTACTTTCACCCATGCTGAAGGAAATGTGTGCCATTTTAGAAAAAGAGCTTAATCTCTCCCCAGCGCCTCCAAGATCATCCTCTTTTTAGCAGGCTCTGAACATACTTACCAAGTCTTAAGATTGCTCATACTCACAGATTAAGAGGAAAAGAAGGGGTGTCAGAATCAAATGGGTATGAAAAATGTAGAACAAAACCCAAGAGTGTAAAGAAACTGAAAAAGAAAACCCCGACTGATAATTATTTTCTTCTCCAATAAGGCTGTATGACAGGCTGCTAAATGAAAATGGAGAGAGTGAAACAGGAAGCTCTTAACTGTTGCTTCAGTGCTTGATTTAACTCTGAGACAAGCCCTGCCCCTGCTCTGGGACGCTACACACTGACAAACAGCCGTGTTTCTCATCTTGGCAGTGTCGGGGACTCTCCCCAACTGTCACCGCTGTCACCTGTCACGGTTGGGGCCTGCCTGTCACCTGAGGTTTGTTTTGCTCACCTCTGCGGAAGGTTGGTCTGGCATGTTGGGGGAAACAGTGTGGATTTTCCTGCGGGACTTCCGACTACCCTGAGAAGAGCCCGTGGAAGTGCGGTCTTTGCTAAGAAAGTAATATTGAGGGGAATTAACAGGGTATTTATCTTTCAGACATTCTGTGCACTGTCACCGGCTCGCAGCTGCCAGAGAGGCCGCACGATCGCGGCTGACCCGCACACCAACTCACAGTGCACGACCCCTCGGACCCAGGCCAGCTCGGAAACTCACCGGGAGGGACGGATATCCGAGCCACGCTCTGGCCGTGCCCGGCGGCCGTGCCCGGCGGCCCGACCCGCTTCCCGCCCTCAACCCGGCCCACTCCCCGCCCCACTTCCTGCTCTGAGTCCGCCCCGCTCCCCGCCCTCAGCCCCGCCCGGTTCCCAGCCCGGTTCCCAGCCCGGTTCCCTCCCTCACCTTGGTCCCGCCTCTCTCCCCGCCCCGCACGCGCCCGCCCCCGCGCTCGTCCAATCAGGGGCCGCCCCGCTGGCCCTGGGCATTGCCCCGCAGCTGGACCAAGATGGCGGCGCCGCTCGCCGCGCTCGTGCTCCTGCTCGCCCTCGGCCGCCCGGCGCTCTCCGGTGCGCAGGCCACGGAGGGTGCGGCGGCTGCGCCGCATCGACGCTTCGAGTACAAATACAGCTTCAAGGGGCCGCACCTGGTGCAGGCGGATGGCACGGTGCCTTTCTGGGTGCACACGGGCAGTAAGTGCCGGACGGGGGTGACGGGCCCGGGCCAGTGGCCTTCCTGAGGTGGAGGCAGCAGTGTCCGGTCGGGGGATGCGGGGTCTTGGGGAGAAGCCGCAGGCGAAGCTGGCCGCGGGTGCCGGCCGTGCCCTCGGGCTCCACGTGGCACCAGAGGCGCAGAAAAGATACTGCGGTGGCGAGGAAGTGCCGGGCCCGCCCGGGCTCCCACCTGCGGTGCGAAGGCACCTATGGCCTCCTGCTGTGGCGGCTGCGGGCCCCGGCTAGGGGACTCGTGGCGCTGCCGGCAAGTGCTGATGTGTCACTGCTGCCGCGCTCCAGGTCGCCCCGGGCCGTGTTGCCGGACAAACTCTTGGGTTGCGTCGTCTCAAAGCTCGAAATGCAAAGGGTGCCTTGGCAAACAGGACTTGGTTGAACAACGTTTGTTTCTGTGTGCTCTGGGTAAAGGGTTCCGTCGTGCTCCGAAAGGCTTGTTGCCCTTCCTGAGTGGCCCCCCGTGTGAAAGGCGCTGACATTTACACTTCCACGTTCACATAGTTTCGCTGCTGTGACTTGTGCTGTTGTTTTGGTTTTTGTCAGACTAATTTAGTTGCTACTGCTTAATTCTTAAATATACCTTTTCTTACTTGACATTATGATACAAGTGACATGAAGGCAACTGTCTATAGATGAGTTTTCTCCCTTCTTTTTCAATAAAATAATCCCTAAAAGCAATGTTATTTAATGCAAGCAAATTAATCACTCTCTGAATGTATGCCTATTGTTCTTTTACACTGCTAAACAGAAAGTTAGAATATCTTGTTTCCTTTCTAGATGCTATTCCAAGCGCAGATCAGATCCGTATAACAACCTCTTTGAAAAGCCAGAAGGGCTCAGTGTGGACAAAAAACAAATCAATATTTGAATATTGGGAAGTGGAAGTGACCTTTCGAGTTACAGGAAGAGGCCGCATTGGAGCTGATGGATTGGTAGGAGCAGTTTCACCTAGCTGAGAAAAACAAATGTGCTCTAAAAGTGAATCTTGACTTACGACTTTTTGCTTTCTTCATAGGCAGTGTGGTTTACAGAAGAGCAAGGCTTGGACGGGCCTGTTTTTGGGGCAGCTGATAAATGGAATGGTGTTGGAATTTTCTTTGATTCGTTTGACAATGATGGAAAGGTTGGTTGGGAGGAAACTCTTGCAGCAACGATGACAAATTAATTTCCTGTCTGTTGAGGAAGAAACTAGGATGTTGTTTTCTTACTATTCCCCTCTTTCACTTCAAAGGGATAAAATAGAAAGTCAAGTTTCCCTTATGCTGGAAACACCAATTTCTATGTGTGTCTTCAGAGATGCTGTTTTTCTTGGAAGAAATCTGCTTTGAGCAGCTCAGCAGCAAAGATTTTGTAGCAGATGAGGATGACAGTTGCTGTTTTCAATTCTCAATTTTCCAGTCCAGAATGATCCTGAAACTTAAACAATACATAGTAGGTCTGCTTTGGTGTTTTTGCTGTCCCTGCAAAACTCTGGCTTGCTTTAGACATTTTAGACTTATTTTAGCAGAAGGCTTTCAGAAGCGTTGCTGATATTTCACTTCAAATTAAACTAATCAATTTGTGTGCCATTTCTTTCCCTAGAAAAACAATCCCGGAGTGATTGTTGTAGGCAACAATGGAAAGTTGCTGTATGACCATCAGAAGTAAGTTTATTTTCAGTGTTACTACTGAATGCTTGCTTTTGAATGATGAAATGTTCCATGAAACCTTTTGAGAAGCATTATAAAGGCTTCTTTCATATGAAACTTCGTTGTATCCTTTACATTTGAGGGCTTCTATTTGTTTAAATACTGCTTTCTCTGTAACAGCAGAGAAATTGGCAACTGGATGGGTATTTTATTGGCAAATGCCCTTTGGGATGGATGGTTTCAGATGAGTATAGTTACAGTACAGACTATTGCTTATGGGGATCCTCAGCACACAGCTAATAATTGGTAGAAGTGACTAACTGAAAGCAAATTGCTGTTACTAAAATTAATTGGATTAATTTTGATTTCTGATTGTTTATCAGCAGCACAATGGACACCTTTTTGGATTTCGGAGAGGAGAGGTATCTAGCTCAGTTGGTGCAGTCAGTACAGCTTATTTCCATCTAGGTTTCCGGGTGCAGGAATGTATCTGAAAATTGTATCTTAGAATGTATCTCAGAAAACAGATTTCCCCATTGCTGCATTCCATCTGCATTGTGTCCTGTGTACAGCATGCAGTACTGGAGAGCGCTGCAGAAAGCTCAGTGCAATTACAGAACAGCCTGGAAAAGCTTGCAGATTGAAAAACTGGGATGAGTTTACATAGTGAGAGTCAGACACTTTTTTGTCCTAGCTGATGAATCATAACACAGAGTTTTATTGATGCTCTCTTTTTGCACAGCGATGGATCCACACAAGCACTGGCATCCTGTCAGAGGGACTTTCGGAACAAGCCCTATCCTGTGCGAGTCAAGATCACATACTACCAAAAAACACTGATGGTAAGTCTGAAATAACAGAATTACTTGTCTTTCTCAGCTTCTTAAACATGAAACTGGGTTTTCACAGAATTGCAACAAATATGTCCGTTCCAGTGTTGGAAACGTGGAGCTTGGTAGCAGAGGTGGAAGGAGGTGCTGTGTTTAAATGTTACACGGGTTCTTTTGGCTGCATTAGAATGCAGGTATTGCTGATTTTTCCATTGTGACTTAGGAGACAGTCATGCAAACACATTTATGATATGCTCAGATCCTTCCGTTGCTCTTGACTTGCCTGGAGAGATGTCCCAAAGTCAGGATCTGTTTAAGCTATAGGTGATCAAACTGCTCCTGAGTTTGGTATTTCTCAAGCTGATGTAAGAGTTGCAGAGGGTTTTATAGCTGATTTTTGAACCAGAGGTTCTTGAAATGGGGCTAAAAAACTAAAACTGTTCAACAGTAGATTTAAATTTTCTACTTGGGGCTTCTCACTTCCAAAAAATAGTAGGGCTTTCAAGACTAAAGATTAAAACCTACTGGTATAAGGGAGGCTGTAAGACTTCTTAAATATTAGCTGATTGTAAATTCCTTCTAGGTAAGGAGAGAAAAATACTAATGTGGTGCCGAGTTGTGAAAGCTACAAAGGGTGTGTTTGTTGGCATCTGATCCCTTCTGGAAAGGTGCTATTCATATATTCACAGGTAGCAGCCATACAGTGCACAGTTATAATTTTGTAGCAGAAGTTTCTCTAAAAGTAAACATGACTGCACCTAGAAGAGGGCAGACCTTGTACTGTGTTGTAAAGGGAAAAGCTGCCTCTCACTCTTGAATGAAAGTTAAACTTCAGCCTCCAAGGCTGCTCTGTTCTCACCTGGGCTCTGATGCCTCCTCTAGGAACTCCTCTGTCCCAGATGTTGCTGCTAAACTTAGCAGTTCTCTCTTTCTCCAGGGATGCATTTTGCAAATTCTCCTTATGCTTTGAATCAGAACTGCAAGGGATGACTGGTGTAGATCAGTTCTGTGTTGCCCAGAACCTTCTTGGGATGTGGACTTTTGCAAATAGAATGCTTATGTAAAATGTTGGGGTAGAATGTCTCTCTCAGAAAAGAAATAGTTTTGTTTTCTACTATGAGCTACTGAGTTACCCAATAAGTTGTATTTTGTGACCATTACTGCAAAGTGACAAAGCAATTAACAAAAATGTGGTGAAAATCCTAAGTGTTTGTCCTTTCAGGTATTAATTAATAATGGCTTTACTCCAGATAAAGAGGACTATGAATTTTGTGCCAAAGTGGAAGATATGGTGTTGCCATCACAAGGGTACTTTGGAATATCTGCAGCCACAGGGGGACTTGCAGGTAGAAAACATTAAAAATTATGGCAAATGCTGTGGGGACTTGCAAGGCTTGCAAGAGAGGTTGGTTGCATGGTTGGGTTTTTACTATTAGCGTTGATCCATTATACCAATTTTTGGCCATGATGATGTAATTAACCCTCTTGCAGTCCCAAATTACTGACATGCTTTGGACTTTTCCTGACTCCAGCTAAAGAATTTTTGTTTTTTCCTGATAAAGTCCCTATATAGTCTCATTCCTCACTGCACAAACACTTGTGAGGATGCTGTTTTTTGAAGATCCTTTGCAAGTGGAAGGTTGGCTTGGGAATTAGAGACATTTGTGAGGTGGGTTTTTTTTGTTTGTTTGTTTGTTGAATACAGATGACCATGATGTGCTGTCATTTCTGACCTTCCAGCTGACTGAACCTGGGAAGGAAACAGTAAGAATTTTTATGCATGATTAGTAAAATATTTTATTGTACATATTATTGTATGTGCAGTACCAGATTATGGTATTTCCTCTTAAGTCACATGTGGCATTCCCGTTTCACAATTTTGGCATGTAGCCAAATTTGCCATGTGGTTTAGAAAAATTAAACTTGTACTGTAATGTTTCAATAATATTGTCATTGGTACTCTCAAGACCAGAATTCTGGAAGCACCACTGAAGCAACAAAACTCATTATGTTAAATCAAACCATGCAGTACTATAAAGTACACTTTCTTTCGGAAGTGGCAAAATATCTGTTCTCACTTTCAAGTTTCCTTACTTCTAGGATGATTCTGCACTGCTAAATAGCATTTATCCTTGTAAAACTTGTTTTAATTTTCTATTGGGAAATTTTTTTATTTTATCTACATGGGGATGTGTGATTTTTCACTTCAGCTAAATATATGAATGTGTTGCAGTAATTTTGTCATGTGTTCACAACTGAAATCTGAACGGGAGAGTCAGTTGTGTTAAGAGTGGGGAAGAACGTGAAAAAATCTCACATGTGCCCTTCCCTCCAATAATGTTTTAAAGCCAACACCAGATGCAGAAATCCCTCAGAAAGATAAAGAGAAGTATCAAGAAGAGTTTGAACACTTTCAGCAAGAATTGGATAAGAAGAAGGAAGAATTTCAAAGGGAACATCCTGATGTGCAAGGACAGCCAGGCAAGTTATTGGAGCTATTTTTCAGCTGTCCAGGAAAACATTTGTTTTCCAGCATCTTCAGAACTAGGGCTGATCTTCCTAAAGTCACACTAATGTTACTTACATTATTTTAAAATATTTACTGTAATTTGTCTCCTGTTTCTAAAATTATCCTGGTGGTGCCTGTATTGAGGACAAAATAAATGACTGGAACCATGGTGGGAATTAGGAACAAGAGAAGGGAGAGAAGGTCATGCATCTCTCTAAAGTGGTGATTAAGACAGCATGGCCTTTTTTCATTATTTAAAGGACATCTTTTGGTCTGTTTCTGCACATCATAGAAAACTTTTCAAAGGTGGGCTAGTGCATATATTGGAACATGTGGTTACCATGTAAAAAGCTTTTTAATGCTTGTCTAATGCTGGAGAGACAAGAACCCGATTATTTGAAAATATAATGGAAGCCATTTGTTACTGTATGCGACTACAGATATACTTTGGGCATCTAGATGTGAAATTTCAGGTTGTCATCTTTATTGCACAGTGATGACTGTTCTAAAGGTCCTATAGGTTATTTTGATCTGCATTTTGGGATGCAGTTCAGCCTTTCTTTGATAAGAAATAATGCCTTTGCCAGAGTCTTTTGGATGCTGGGATGGGTAGGAGAAGGTAGATGGATGTGCATATGTTAAGGGAGCAAGAAGAATGATCCATTGCAACTTGTGAGGAATGTGCACATGGGTAAAAAGCCCCTGTGTTTTTTTCTTAGCAGCAGATGATGCTTTTGAAACTGTGAGTGATCGTGAACTGAGGCAAATCTTTGAGGGGCAGAATCGAATTCATCTGGAAATCAAACAGCTTAACAGACAACTGGACATGATTCTGGATGAGCAGAGGAAATATGTCTCTGCAGTCACAGAGGAGATTGCCAAAAGAGGAGCTGGGTTTCCAGATCAGCAGGGACAGGTAAATAAAACCCATGGTGATTCAGAGCCCAGCCTGATTTCAGCAGTGGGATCCATTTGTTTATTCCAAGATATGTTGATCTGTTTCCTCCCCCTGCCCCTAGCAGGTTTCCCAGCAAGAGATAGAGACAGTTGTGAAAACCCAAGAAGAGGTCATTAGACAAGTAAAGGAAATAAGGTAAACATTTTCCAAATATTATGGCCATGTTTTGAATGTTATGATTTCTGTTTAAATCCTGTGTATTATTTCAGTAGGACAGTACTGACAAACTTGATGTTGTGTCAGTTCCTTAGCGAAGACTCCCTGCATATATTTGATTTCTGTAATAAAGTCAGTTCATGCCCCAGGGATTGCTAAGGGCCCTAATTTGTCTCTTTTTTATAATGAAATTCAACAGGTAAGTTCAGCCCCTTTAAAAACAATGAAGTAAACCCCTTATCTTTAATGTGCTATACTGCTAAATTAGATTTGTGAAGATGCTTGTGTTTGATGGGGATGTCTCAGTACTTCTTTTAAGATGTTTTACTGTTGCTGTCTTAATCAGGAATGGCTTTAAGCTGGTTTAGCCCTCCATTTGTAGCAGCTAAAACATTACTTATCTTATAATAAAAAAAAAGGAGAAAAACAATTCCTTCAGTTGTGCTTCCCACCATATCAGTTTAAGGGCAGCTCCTGTGATTTATCTAAGTAGGTCAGTTTTTTGTAGAATGAAGATTAGAGTGCTTCCATTTTTGCACTTGTTCTTCCACAGAAGCTTTTATGTTAATATTCTTGACAAATCTTTATACCTTGCAAGCAAATTAGATTTTCATGTTAACATTGGCAGTCTGCCCTTTTAGTGACTACTTACCAGCTCACAGTTTGCGTAACATCATCTTAATACTTTTCTTAGATTAAAGAAATGCTTTATTTAGACAGAGAAATAAATGGCCCCTCTCTGCATCGCTTGTCATCCCGCAGGAAAAGGACTTAGGGGCCAAGTAATTTTCTTGGCAAGATTGTGGATTTCTTAATCACCTGATTACAGAAGAATCCTGCATGTCTCTACAATATAAACTGTCAGCAGGGTGTTATTAATGCAAAAGTCAATACAAATTCAACTTGATACAGCCCATGTCTATTAAGGGAAGTTATTTTGCTTTTAACAAAGTCTCGATCAGTTTGGACGAAGGTGAGTGTGCAGATTTCTGTTCATTATGTAAAGATGTCTCTGTTAGGAGGGAGAAGAACCAAGTGCGAGTCCCACTTGTGTTGTAACACCGTGAGGTGTGTGAAAAGACAGAATTACCATCAGTGATTATTAGGCAGTGGGCATGACAGGTTATTTAAGATAAAACCTTCCAGTGAGAAATCTACTTCTAAAATATATTATTATAACACTAATTGCAAGTCCAGGTAAATGAAAATTTGCTGACCACTCTACAGAGAGTTAGGAGTGCTCCATGCAAACACCGAAGTATGCTTCCATCTGGACCAAATGGAAAGTTTTAAGTAAATTAAAAAGAAATTCAAAGGCATACATGTTGATTGTCTATTCTGTTAATAATGAAGAGATTATCATTCACATGATAAATATCTTAGCTGTAGAATAATCCTCTTTGCAACTCAAAAGAAACAGCACAGTAGGGGAAAATGATATAAACATTGATTAGAGTTTAAGGTTTTTTTCTCTCATTGACTGGTTTACCTCAAACCAAATTAGTTATGAAACCTTAACTTTTTCTGGATTTAATTTCATTTGTTGTAGCAGGAAAATGAATTCACAATAAGACAATATTAAGTATTTTGACAATGCAAATGGGAATTGAGTTCCTCACATAAACGGTAATCATAAAACAAGGATGTATCTAAATCTTTTCTTATCCCTAAAGCCTCTTCCTTGTTTTTATTTCTTACATGACTTTATTTATTTATTTATTTATTTATTTTTCAAACAGCTTCTGGGTTTCTTTAAAGATTGCATTAAACTCTGCTGATCCTAAATCCTTGGCCAGCGCCTCAGGCAGAACTCTTGTTCTATAGCCCTCAGCAGTCAGGCAGCCAAAGCAAATGTCTAGCAACAAAATATTTGCTAGTTCTTGTTCTCAGTGTGACTGAGAGATGAGGCACTCTACAAATGGCAACTGTCTGCACAATTAACTATTTTTTAAAATTGCGGTTTGACTAAATGGTTATTTCTTGAGAGGTATTCTTGAAAGCTAGTAAAATTTGCTGCCTTTTGGTGCAACTGTGTATTTCAGCCTAATTCTAATGAGCTAAAAGCTGTCCAGAATAACTGCTATTTGTAGAAAAGCTGGTGTGTGTTGAAAGCTTGTTTGTTATTTGTCTTGTTTCAGAAGTTCTGTGACTGATGCTCTGAGATCCATCAGTGGGGCTCAACACCCTGGCTCTGCGGGAGTCTATGAAACAACACAGCACTTCAATGACATCAAAGAACACCTTCACATAGTGAAAAGGGACATAGAGCATTTAGTGCAACGCAACACGGTAATTTATGTGCTGGGAGTGTAACGCGGCTTTCTTTGGCTGTTAGTGAAAAGCAATGCAACTGCTCCAGCATGCAATTTAGGGAGCAATTAATCCTTCATTAAGCTGCTTCGGTAAAACTATGCTGCTGTGACCTAACTGCATGATCTGGGTCTTGATGAGAAGTTTTGCACAAAGAGCATGATTTTTAGTCTAATTTCCTGTGGAAACAAGGTCAAGCAATTAGATTTTTTAGGTGCTTTTTTTTTGGTGTTTTTCCCCCTACTTAACAGCTCTATACAGAGGAGATTCTGTGGTGCTTCTGCACACAAGGGAGAGCTTTAATCAGGGAAAACTCAGGCAGGCTCTGCTTAAGGCTTCTTAATGCAGAAGAAATGACTGTGTTCACATTCAGGAGTACCTTAGTGTAGCCTAGGTAGCAGTTAAGCTGATGTAGCTTATGATCTGTAGAAGGTCCTTGATTAATTTACCATATTTATGTATTGTTTCCCACGTAAAGCTCAATTTAACATCAGGCAATTCGTCTGAGAAATGTAAAGGTGGAAGGGGAGAGTGAGATGAGGAGTAAGATTATTTTTTCAGAGTACTGTTATTTCTTTCCATCTTCTCTGATTTTTACGTCACATTACAAAGCCCTTGTTTTGTAAGTCTTTTGATGGGATGTCTTGTTTGCTCTTTTCTTGGTTTTTAGCCATCCACTGAGAAACAAAAGTGTCCAGAGTTGCCACCGTTTCCATCCTGCTTATCTACAGTGCATTTCTTCATATTTGTGGCAGTGCAAACTGTGTTATTCATTGGTTATGTAATGTATAGGTAAGTCTTGTGTAGCTCAAAGATAGCAGGGCAAATAGTTTTAGAACTGCTGACTGATAATGTCATTGGAATGGTATAATTGTGTTAATCTTATTAAAACAAGCAATCATTCAGATTGGAAGAGACCTTGGGAAGTCTCCAGTTCAATCTTCTGCTCCAAACGGGGTCCACACTGAATTCAGATAGGGTCACTTGGGATTTAAACTGGTCAGGTCTTCAAAACCTCTACGAAAGCAAAATTTACCACTGTTTCAGAACCCACTGGAAATGTTGAATTATCATAATGAAGTTTGGTTTATTCTACCCCCGTTCACCCACCGTGTATCAAGTGGGAACTTGATCTGGTTCAACTTGACTGTTGTGTCCTTATCTCTTTCTCTTTTTTTTTTCTCTTTTTTTTTCTTTCTATTTTTCTTTCTCTTTTTCCTCCTCCATTTTCCTCCTCCTTTTTCCTCCTCCATTTTTCTTTTTATTTTAATTTCCTTTTATTTTTTCTTTCTAAGCTTATTGGGATGGTCTTTCTCTTCTTTTCCCCCTCCTTGTGATGTCATAATGTTGAAATTCTGTTTGCATTGGTGAAAAGGACAACCTCCATGCGTGGTAGTCTTTTTTTGCCATGAACTGGAACAATGATTTCCAAGACAAACAAGGAGCTGGTCCCCTCCAGTTCTTTGTGATGTGTTTGTAATTCCAGCACCTGGATGTGGTTGATCCGGTGTCTGTATCCACTAAGAAAATTAATGATCTGTGCCAGAGGGAAAAGGAAATCCCACTTAAATTCAATTCTTTCCCTGCTTAGTTGCATGGGTTTCCTTTTCTCAGGTGATATTTAGGCAAATGAGATACTGAGAAGCTTCAGAAAATGTTCAAGAGTATTTTAAAATTTTTTGTTTGTTGGTTCATGTGGAGTTGTTTGTTTTGTTTTTTGTTCCTTTTGTGTCTAATGCAAAATTGGAACTACAGTGATGCTACCTGTGTCTTTTTTAATAGAAAAAATATATTCTGGTTTTGTGCTATGGTTCATATTTTCTCTAAGTCCCTGTTGATAAGGAATGGAATCTTCTAATCCTCAAATAAATGAAAATTTAAAACAGCTAGTTTCAAATTAGAAATACTTGAAGAACTATTTTCTGCCTTTTCTTTCAGGAGCCAACAAGAAGCAGCAGCCAAAAAGTTCTTTTGATGACCTGTTCTGTTTGTGTGTACATAACAGCAGTCTGTATGCACAGAAAATTCTACACTTCTGTAAATGAGGGAAATTTTAGTGTTGGATATACTTTACTATTATAAATTATTTAATTTTGTTGAATAAAGTAAGTTCCCATTTAAAGTGTTGATGCTAAAAACAGGGAGCAGATGCCGAATGGGATAAGACAGTGCACCCTGTCTGTGTTTTCAGCTGACTTTTTCATAAATACTGAAAGGCAAACTCCCCATTCCTCTGCTTTTGTTAAGATTCCAGAGGAGGAGTTGAAACACCCAGGCTTGGTTTTTGTTCTGAGTGTGAATTGCAGATGGATGATTTGTGCAGAAAACTTGCTACTGTGTGTCCTGACATAGCAGTTTAAAAAAAAAAAAAAATAAAAAGAAGGTAAAAAAAATCCCTGACCTCAAAGAACCATTCTTCTGTGGGGTTTGGGGTTTTTTTTTGTGGGTAAAAACTTATTATAAACATTTTCTTTGATTACCGCTTGGATTTAACAGTATAAAAATATTTTAGTTAATTCTTATTTAAACACTTTTTAATATGTGGACACAAAGACAGGCCTTTAAGACCCTGACTCTTGATACTTGATGTAAAAAAACCAATTATACAGACCATGCAAAGAAAGGCTTCTCTCCCTGTTTTACAGTTTGATTTTGGGCAGTGAGAAAAAATGTGATAGTTTCTTCAAGTATGTTGTGGGGCTGATTTCTTTTTTAATGGTTTCAAGTCTGTCTGTAATTTTTGGGGGAGATTTGTGTAACTTTCCCAGCAAATGTGATTGCTTTATCCATCTTCCAAACTGATTGTATCAAGGATATATTTAGTGTGTGAATTTGTCTTTACTTTTCTAAAGCTGTCTTGTGTCTTTCATGTATTAAGTACAGATGCTTTGGTTTAAATCTTGACATGAGGAGTATTGTAAACTGCAGCTATTGAGTGTTAACCCATTTCTTCACAAACTTGCTTCAGACATGTTTGTTAATCTGTAGAACCAGTATTTTGTGTCAATTGCTGTTTGGATATCAAAAGCATAAGACTGGACATGTGATTTTGATACTGCTTATCAAGTGAACATTTGCTTCAGGAAAGAAAGAACGCAGAAGGCCCAACTTAGGAATGTGAAATTAATTAATTTTACGTTGTTTACATATCTGTGGTAACTTTGTCCTTGAGTTATATGTAGAATTAGAATAAGTATTTCTGTGGTTTCCTAAATTTTATAAAATACACAAATGCATCAGGATATTTCACTTAAAACTGTTAATTTGTTTGTCTGAATCTGCAAAAATGATCTGTAATATGACTACTCTTACTGCATTTCTGCAGTCTGCTCCCTTGGAGTGTAACACGTGCTGCCAAATTCACTGTAATGAAGAACACTAAAGTATTGTGCCTGTCAGTTTGGAGAAATGATAAATCTATGCAACATATTTTGTTACTTTAAGTACAGTGTCCAAAAAGTGAATGTCTGTGCTATACTAAGAAAATGACACTGGCTACACACCAATTAACACATCTGCAGTATGGAGGATACTCCAAGTGGTGTAGCTTTATAGATTAATTTCTAAATTTGAGCAGATTTTGCTGTACTAATGAGAGAAACCACTGCCTCAGGCTAATCAGTGAATAAACAACTTTTCAGATAAAGCAGAATAACCCACTGAAATGTATCTCTTCAGTTCTTTCAACACCAGCAAATATTTCCAGGTGCCTTGAGTCTAAGCTATTACAACCCGGACTCTTGTAATGAAACTTAATATATTTTCTTAAATGGTTCTGAAACTGTACAGTGGTGTTTCCTTTCAGTTGCAGACCTTCTTGCATCAGTGCAACATCCAAACAGAACTCCTCTCACAGCAGGCTTTGCAAAACCTCTTATGCAGAAAGTATTTTGATACATATCTGGCAGAATGAGGAGCAGTTCTGATGTGTCCATTGGAATGAGCCTGGATTTTTGTTACTGTGAAGTAACAAAATCCACCTGTTCCTTTGATTTAACACTGGAGCAGCCCATACTTCTGTTTGGTTAGAAAGAAGAGCAGGTTAGGGGTGATGTCTAGAAGGAAACTTGAAGCCTACAGTTTTCCCTTTAGGTGGAGGCTGCTGGATCACACGTGTCTTGCACATGGAATGAGAAATCTTCTGTGGTAGGGAACAGAAGGTCTAATACGGAACACCACAACACTGGTAACTTTGCTTTATGATTCATTTCACAGTTGTCTCCCCTTGGAGCTTTCATAACTCACTAGATAAAAGAAAATTCCCAATTGCCCAGCTCAAATTTAGTGCTGTGCGTTCTTGAAGTGATAGCAACGAATTAGGATTCTAAGAATATTTTTTAGTCAATGTACCTCCTTCTAGGTGTCTTTCAGCAGTAACAGTGTGTTTGATTCTTACCCAGTAAGATTTCACAGCTAGGAGGAAAAGACACGGAATGCAGTTGGACAATATTAGGGAGAAAAGTTATATATGAATTGTGGATAATAAGTGTAAATATTTGGCAATGATGAGATTATGGGATGGGGTGGGGGTTTAGTAAACATATGGTCACCCCTGAATCTTTCACAAGTCAAATGCACAATACGGTTTGTAAATGACCTGGTTTATGGTGTGTAAATTAATTGCTCTGGTTTGTAACTTCTGTGGGAAGAAAATCTGACCTCAATGGATCAATAACTGTAACACCAAAAAATGTCTACTGTTTTTTTTTTTTAATTATTCGTTTAAATTCAAACAGCTGACAGTTTCATGTTTGTTTCTGACTGATGTAAATTGATACTTGGAGTTCAGAGATAACCTTATTTGAATAAAGGTGCATATTTTTAGTAAGCCTTTTTCTTTTCATTTGGTACATGTCCATGAAATCTAAACAAGTGCATTTGAAGCATTCTTTACCCTCACTTCAGAGTCAGAACACTTACAGATCTGGGTTCAGTTCTACACTGGGGAGTTAATGGCATTCTGAGTCTGAATTCCCTCTGTGACTGTCACTTTTCCTTAGCCAGAAGTAAGTCTTTTAGCAAGTGGGGGACAGGAATCTTGAATTGAATCTATTCAAGCTGACAAAGCCCTAAAATATTTATTTCTGATGGTCCAGCTGCTAGAAAAGGCAACATCTTGGTAGAGGCATGAAGCAGGGGGCAGAGTCCTGGTTCTTTCAAGAACACCTAAGTATTTTTGCATTATGTGACTGATAGGAACACAGAATCTAAAAAAGATTGGGAGTTTGGATGGCATTTTTGGGCTGGCCTCCCTCTGGAATTTGCCTGTTTCAAGACTGAATTCTGTGCTGGGGTTAAAGATCTATGTGTTGTTCCTTGGGTGTGGGACACATGCTTTTATATATCAACCACTTTCATCAGGTAAAACAGGAACAGAGTCATTAATTTTGATTTCACTTAAGCTAGAAGGAAAAGACACAGATTTAAAGCAAAAGAAGTGACAACATGAGTACTTAATTAGCTGCTGTCTTTTATGTTTTCATGAAGTCTGGGATTCCTGTCATCAACAAAAAGCAGTAAATTTTTAAACTGCAGTAGAGCACCTGCCTGGAACAGAATTACTCTGGGGGTACTGGCTGAGTTGTGTATTTTGTCACCAGTCTGTCCTGTGCTTTTCAGCAGCTTCAGTGCCAGTAGGCCCAGTAACTTTCAAAGCCCTTTTTGTTATCTTTGATCTCAAAATTATCATGGGAAAGCCTTTTGCTGATTGATTGCAAGGTTGAGAGCTGGAGAGCAAGACCTCTTAGCAGTCCCTCCCAAAGCCAGTCCTTGCCTTTCTCAATCCTGTGAACGAATCACTTCTAGGCACAAAATTAGGTTAGAAACCTTTCTAGAGGGATCAAAGCCTACAGCAAAGTCAGGGAAGCTTCTTTTCAGTAAAGACCAACAGCACAAAGCTTAACAGGTACCACTCTCTATACACTTGGAGAAGACTGTGGAGACCTAGCACTGGAAAAATCACTGTTCACAAAGTTCCAGCTAGGAGAATTTAAAATACAGATGTTAAATAAAGTTGTTACTTGGAATTCATGATTCTGAGTGGTAAGTTTCAAAAAGAGAGACTTTCTTGTTTAGTCACTAATAAGTCAGGATTTCAGAATGTCCTGTGGTTGTTTTTTTCTTCTTGTTTTGGTTTGGATTTTTTTGTTTGTTTTGGTTTGCTTTGCTTTTTTGTGTATTTTTTGTGAGTTTTTTTTGGTGGTGTTTTGTTTTTGTTTTTTAATAGTAATAGATCTGCTTTAATTAGAAAGGCTGTAATATAGATTAAGGTATTAGGCAAACTGGAATCCTCCCATCTCTCAGTTCTCATTGAAATTATGAGAGTGCTGGGAGAACCATTTAGATAATCAAAATTCCAGAATGTTGCATTAAGGCATATGCAGTCAGTGCAGTAGGATAAGTGCTCAAAACACAAAGTCATGAGCTTTGGAAACCTAGCAGTTGATTTTCTTTCCCAAAATAGTCTATGACCTAGGTGGCAGATCCTGGAAATCTTCACCTGAGGCTAATGATGTGACTAAAGGTTAGAAAGATAAGCACCAACAGGAACAATCTAGATCCAAAAGGTATCCATACTGTTTTCTGGCATACAGATTCAGATTTATTCATTCTTTATCAGCAGTTAGGATTACAAACAGCAGGTGTTTATGTAGCACCAAAGCAGGGGTCTAGATGGAGACAGTCTGGGGAAGAGCTGACAGAAACCCGAAAGAAAGAACACTAGGAAGATTTTAATTGCTTTCTTTGGGATTACTTTCTTGAAATAAAGTAATCATAACAGTGATGCCTCATTCATCTGCAACATAAACCAACCACATGAAGAGGGTCTGAAGAAAAACCACACAAAATATTTCTGTCCAGTGGGATAAAATATTAATGGATAAAAAGAATAAGGGGTTTTGCTTAATGAAGAACTCAAGTTTTCAAATCTGAGGATTTTCCACTCATCAGCCTGAATTTTGCTATATTACTATGACTATTGAGTCAAGCAGGTTTTAAATTCAGATCCAGGGAATGTTGTGATCTCTGTGAAAGTGAGAGCAAACTTCAAGACTGAAGATGTCAAAATTGCATACTTTAATTGATTTGTGTGTGTGTGTGTGTGTGCGTGTGTGTGAGTGTGTGTGTGTACAATTAGCTTAAAGTATTAATGGAAAAAGTAGGTAGTTGCATCTAATGATTTTTTTGGAGTAATCTGAACCATCTGCCTCTATATATTAAGGAGTTCTTTCTTTAATCCAGATTATGGCTGACAAACTGGTTTTGGCATTCACATTTCACTAGCACTGTGCCCTTGAGGAGCTGATGTGGCTATAGAAACCCTCTTGCTTACAACTGTTGTGTTTGAAAACATTTTTTGTTTGGCTTTCTTGCAGTTGTTTTCTTACAGCTCCTTTTTTTTTTCTTTTTTTTCTTTTTTTTTGAGAAGATGGCCTTTCTAATGAAAAGTATGTTGAGCAACCAGGTAAAGAATTTGGGACTTGGAGGTGGAGGGGAAGAAAGCAAAGAAGAAAGCACTCCTTCTGATCCAGCAGCAGCTGCAGGAATGACCAGAGAGGAGTATGAGGAATATCAAAAGCAAATGGTTGAGGAGAAGTGAGTACCTGTTCCCTTAATTATGAGTATGGGGCTGATTCTTGGTAACTTTGTGCAAATAAAAATAACCCAAGAAAAAGCAAAACATGCTGCTTTTCACTGGTTTTTTTTGGTTTTCTTTTTTTTTTTAAGCAGATGAATCTCTGCTAAAAAGATTTCCCAAAATAGAAGTTCCCCAACTGGAAATGGTAAAATAGAACATTCCCTCTTCCTGCCCCCCTCCCCATCTAGCAACTCTCTCCTATGCTTTCCTGCTATCTCCACAGCTTGATATGCTGGACTCATTCCTAGGTGATGTTATTTTATCTAGAAAAAATTCCCAAGATGTTTGTAGTGCAGGATTTAATTCTCTAATGTATATAATTTGTTCTAGAACTCCATGTGGACTACACTTTCAAGATGTAATATTTCATTGTCCACATTTATTATGGTAGACCTGAAAATGTACCGCATGTTCATTTAACTTCAGCAAAGGTTTAAGATGGTTATTTTTTTTCTAAAATCTACTGAATAAAGCAGAACTTTAAAATCAATTAAGTCTCAATTTTGTCTGTAAAGACAATATTTATCACTTGCTGTGTTTATGAAAACAAGTAAAATGGAGGACTTAGTGTGCGTAGGAGTTCAAACCATGCATAATTATAAATGAAACAATTGACTTTTAAATCTCAAATGCATCTGTTTCTCTAATGGTCAATTACATAATAGTTGTGTAAATCCTTCTTGTAAGATGATTATAGGTGCCAGGTTAATGACTGATGGAATTTGAGATATCCAGGTCTGTATTTAGCATCAGACATTTCAGTCAGGAAGCCCTGAAGAGTGTCATTTGGTTTGGAAAAAAGCACAGAATGTTTTGTTCTGCTTTTTGTCAAGTGATATTTAAAAGAGAAATGACCACCTGCTGGCAGGAAGATGCTTTATGGAGACTGAGAAGAAACACAGGATTCCTGGGATAGGGGAATGCCTGGGAAAATAATTACTTCTATACTGTTTTTAAGTGGGGCACGTATCCTTTCCCTGCTGAACTGTACTGAGGAAGCAGGGCAGGAGTATCCATATGGGACAATTAAAAACTCTAAGAGAAAAGATCACCTCTGGATGAGATGTGGTGCTGTGTCAGAAATCTCTGACATGAGCAGAGCATGGTCCTGTTTCAGTACTCCATGGATTTTGCCCAGTGTTCAGCTGTGCAGGAATAGAGACCAGAAAAGTAAATATGCCTTGCTGAACTTGTGCTCAGGCAGTTTTGAACCTGTAACCAACCAGGCTTTGGGTACTTCTCAGATTTTAGGTTTGTTTGTGGGGGTTTTGTTTTTAGAGGGAGAGAAATCCAAACACTCATTTTGGAAGCAGAGGAAAAGTAGTATTTCATTCTGGAAGTAGCTTTTATGTGCCAAAATACCTATACTGAAACAAGATCAATTTTGCAATAGAACTTCCATGAAAATGCTACTGGGGAAAAAAGAAATTAAAGGGAGAGGGGGGTGAAAGGTGAGTGTTATCAAATGTTACCAAAAAATCTTTGAGGAGACACGTTTTGCAAGTAAATGCATATGTAAATGCATATGTAACTTAAAAAAAAAAAAAAAAAAGTGCAGACCAATTCTTAGATCTAATAAAAACATTTTATATAATTATAGATGAAGTCAGTAGTCTTCCATGCGGGGAAGCTTTAGAATTCATTGCCTTCATGAAACAATGAATGCACAAAGACCAGGAAAATTCATAGGTGACAGAAGCACAGGAAGTTTGGCCCCTTGGCATCACTTTATTGGTATTGCTCCTTTTTTGCCTTTGAACAAGTTACTAATCTAGGGAATAACTCCAATGTGTAGCTTTTTGCACCCAAGCAACTGGTTTAGTGCAAAAGATTGTTTTTATTAGCATCTTGAAGGAACATTTTTTCTGATTTCCAGAATGGAAAGAGATGCAGCATTTGCACAGAAAAAAGCAGAGCGAGCTGTTCTGAGGGTTCACCTGAGAGAAAAGTACAGACTGCCCAAGGTAAGCCTGTAGCTCATGAGCTCATCTAGTCCAGAGGCCAAATTTCAACCGATAATTTTTTTAATTATTGTGTTATTTTGTAAGCTAAGCAAAAGCTTCAAGCAACTTATTTCAAATAAATTTTTAAATTATTGTGTTATTTTGTAAGCTTCTGCCATGGGCAGCAGAGAGGTAATACAGGACAGAGTACTCTTTCCAGGGGTTTGTATCACACATTCGCTCCGACCTGTCACTACTGGGAAGAGGTTGGCATATTTCATTTATACTCCTCAAGGATATGTGGTTCTTAGCAATTTGAGAGTTTATTTGTATTACTCACCTGCCAGCTCTGAGTCATTACCACTCATTTTCTGATCAGTACTTTTCTGTGCTTTTTGATTAAAATGGAGGAAGGTGAAGAATCTAGATCCTGTAAATTTAGCTACTAAAAATGTAGTGCTTAATCCAAACAAGTCATTAGGGACTCATCATCAACAGAAAGAGACCAGCACTTGTAGCCTTATCTAGCCAAACTTTTAAATAAGCCTTTAAGGTGGAGTTGGGTCACTTCCCAGTGGCTGCGTCTCTTCCAGAGGGAGACCAGGTGACATCTGAACTCAGGTAAGATGTATGCCACCCCTAAGAGCCTGGTTCCTCTGGTGCTCTAGCTGGACAACATACCCTGAGGATGAGTTTAATTACAGAAAGATTAATTATGCAAAAAAAAATTAAGTCCAAGATTTTAAGTGATTGATTGGATTGGAGGCCTAAGTCTCTAAACACCAGCATTTTAATAAGCAGCTGAGGAGTAAAATATCATTAGGCATTGCTTACCTTTTGGAGGCATAGGCTGAGACAGCTCCTGAACAGCATTTACCCAGTGTCTTGCCAGAGCTTTCCAAAGGAGCTGCTTTGGAAAGCTCCAGAACACTTGAGTGCTCAGGTCTCAACTGAACATCAGTGGAGCTGGGTGTCTCTGGTTTTCAAATTCGCCCACTTGTAGTGATTTTTACAGCTGGAGATGTTGTCCAGGTCACCAGTCCCCCTTGGCTGAGCACCTCATAGATACATAAGTATGCAGTGGGGATCTGACCCATCTCCAGCAGGGTCTTGGCTTTGGCATGTACCAAGTGCTCTCTGGAGCCATATGTCAGTAACAACAATAGAAGACTTGTCTCCAAGGTAGGAGAGTAGCTCTAAGCCAGAAAACAATATTGCAGGATACGTTTTCCTGCTTTTGTTTCTCCCTGTATAGCATTTCTTGGTTTTCATCAGCCCCAATGAAAACATGTTCTAGCAGGAAGAAAATATAACTACTATATGCATGCTAACATGTCCCTAAAAAAGAAAAATCAGTGCTGTAATACAACATTCTGGCAGGAATATGCTCTTAGACTTGTAATAATGCATTAAATATCTTGAAAATTGAATGTCATTCCAGGTAGCCTAGTATGGTCTAGAAACATTGAATATTACCAGTATCAATCACTAACAAGCATTTTAAGTAAAAGCATGAAATTCAGGACTAAGCAGGGCCCCCCTTTGCCACGTAAAATCTAAAGCTCCATGCTATCTGGACCAGATTTATAAGAGAAAGTAGACCCTTAATGAACCTAATCCTATTAACAGAGTTGTCAACTTAGGTTTATCATCAGAAAGATGTTTTTAGCCATGAGACATTTGATCTATGGACAACTTTTTCATCTTTGGCGTATTCAGTGCATCACATTAATACAAAACATTAAAAAATATTATATAAATACAGACATTAATATTTTAATAATAATACTAATTTTTTTTAGAAGTGACCAAACTCTCTTATCCACTTGCTTCTTTTTTCCTGAACTGGGATTCAGTAATCAATGAACTTCTGCAAGGTCTAAACATAGGGGCATGAGTTGATGGTGAGCTGTGGAAAAAAAGGGGTCCTAGTGCAGATGTCAGGAGAGAGCGGTCCCCACTCACCAACTCTGTGCTCCAAGCTGTGATCTCTGGATTCTCTGAGGGTGTTTCTGGGGAGGAAGGCTGCTGGTTCCAACATTTGGCTCCTTGCACCTGCTTGTGAGGTACTTGCAGCCCTTCGGTGGCATAAGGACAGTGGTGCTGCTAATTTAAGTCCCACCTGAAGGTCAAGGCAAGATGAACTCTGATTTTATATGTTACTGGTGCATTGTAGGTGATGAATCACAGGAAAAGGTCTGGAGTCGGCTACCTAAGGATCTCTTCACATAAGCATAGGTAAATGCTATGACAGGATAAGTTAGGCATAAGGAAAGCAGTACATTCACACAGGGATGCTAGAAAAGAGTTTGATTCCCTTGCGGATTAGTCTGTGGGCTTTGATATTTTTTGTTTACAAGTAGACTTCATATAAGCAGCGTTGAACCAGCATTTGGTTTTCTTTGCTCCTTAAGTTGCACAGAAGACTTTAACATCATTGTTCAGAGGACCAAAAGTGGCATTTAACAAGCAAAACCAAACTTTTATTGTTCTTCTCCCCTCCTGGAGGGCGTTGTCTCCCTTTGAGGGAGCTTGACAAAACTTTTACTGAAAAAAGCTATCTCCCTGAGGGACATTGCTTTTCCTGTGGGCAGAGACTGTCTCCCTGAGGAACATTGCCTTTCCTGCCCAGCAGACATGGAGCTGTCTCATGTTAAACTGTATCCTTTACCCATGGGAGCCAGAGAAGGAATTTCCCTTGTGATATCAGATGGTGACCATCTCCTGCTTGCAGTATCTTAATCCTTCTCCCTCTCTCTGTCATTCACCTGTTTTCTCATTTCTGTACACACTTAATGCTACAAAATAAAGTTGTTATGCTTGAACTGGACCCTTGCACCTTAATTTGGGCAGAGGACTTTACTGTCAAATTGTAACAAAGCAGATATTTAGACAGTTTTCTGCTCACGACTACCTGTGTATCGTTGTATATGTATAGAACTCTATTGCATCTACAGCAAAACAGATATGGGACTGACTACATCAGATGCATAATCAGGGTCAAGAAATACTATCATGCACTCAGACTCTATTGCCTATGCTGTTGAATTGTCAGAATAATGTCTGACCCAGTTTTGGCTTGGGCACTCTCCCAAGCAGTTCCCACAGCCAGTTTGGGAGTTAGGACAGGCATTTCCAATCAGCAGTTAGATGGGACCACCCTGTTTGGTAGGGAGAGAGTTCAATAACATCCCAGTGGGTTTTTCCAGGCCAGCTGGCCTTGGGGCAAGAGACCAGTGCCAGGCATATTTAATTTAGTAAAATAGATGTTGTTTCTGTGTTCACTTTTCCATTTTAAATCAAAGTAAACAAGAATCAAACACTCAAATTTTACAAGGAAGTGAAGACGCCATACATGCATCATGTGCCTCTTTGCTTTTTGTTGAGCAACCCCACACTGCTGAAGCTTGTTTAAGGTCTATTAAAGCTAAATGCCAAGTGGGTAGAGGCAGGTGGCTTGGGCAGAATTGTACTGCTTTAGACTGTATCTCAATATATATTTTTTTGGTCAGAGAACACTCTGAATCCCCAAACTGTTACACATCACATCCAGACTTGCACAGGACAGCGGGCTTTGATGCAAGAACATGCCAGACAATTGTTCAAATTCCTGAAGATGTGAATCACTACCGTAGCATGCAATGATGATACCTTAAATTAGAAATAATTCTAAAGTAAAGAATATGTGTGATTGTCTGATTAGGGACACTATATCAGTAATTAACATTTTTTTATCATCCTCTATTGCTACTGGTGAGGATTTAAAAAGTGCTAACTCCTTTCATAGCCATCAGTTGCTGAATAAAAGCTTAAAACAATTTTTTCCTGCTACACAATCAATAAAAAAATACCTCTTCTGTTCAGGAAATTGTTTCTAGCTCCCACAGATCTGACTCCAGCAACCCTTACCAAAAAGGTGAAGAGATGCCCTCACCCATTTTCTCAACATAGCAGTAACAATCCTGTTAGAGCTCCCTACAGTTTCACAAGAGATATGGGGGAAAATCAGACTAAAGGGATGTACAGTAATTGCAAACGTAAAGTGTAGAAATATGGAACCATAAATAGTGGTTATTCAGCTGACCACCCCCAGCCTGCTTGTCCACGCTAAGGCCTGCAACAACACAGACATTGCTCATATATGTCCTTGCATTCATTTGTCCTTTCATTCATGCAAAACCCAGACCCCTCACTCTAAAAAACACCTCCTGCTGATCTCATTGCTGCTTATTCATATCAGGCCTTTGCTGCTGTCATGATTAATTTTGGAGATGTAATGAGGCATTAATGCTTATCTTTGATGTGTGAACTGTGTCAAAATATCCTGTTCTTCTGAGCTCTGGATCCATCAGAATCCACCAGCAAATGTGAACAAAATCACCATTGTTTGAAAAATTGACATAATCCCACCGATGGAGTGTTTCAGTAGGCAAGCAGGAAGCAAGTGTGTGTAGCGCTTACTGCATCTCAGCCCTTTTAATTTCTTAACCAGTTTCTTCTCCTGTCTCCTTTTGCTTTCTCAGATTCACAACCAATCTCCCTCCTCTCTTGTTGTCCAAGTCCTCCTATTACCCCACTTACCAGCAGTGTAACACTGATTATGTGCCAGGCAGCCCCCTGCTCTTCATCACAACTCAGAGAGGCCAACCAAAGATCCAGCCAGAGTTCAGACATGATTTGGGAAGATGGGGGACCCTTTTTCCAGTAATTCATTCTGAAGTTTAATGCATCTTTCTTCCAGAAGGCTTCAGTTTAGTGCTGATACCTCAAAATTCCCCCTACCTGCCCTGCCCAAGAATCAAATGAGGAAATGGTACCACAGCTCTTCTAAAGCTCTTGTTTCATTGACCACAAGCTGACAGGTAAAGCACAGCAGCTGACAAGCTTAGTAGTGTCCTGCAGCATGATTTGGGGGTCCACAAATAGCTTGAAATAGAATTCCTGCACCATCAGCATGGCAAAGGTTTCTAAAATGGCAAGTGACACTGAGGGCTTCAGTTTTGATAGTGCGGAAGCCCTTCAAAGAAATATAATTGACATTGCTCGAAAAATCTTAGACCTTTTATGCAGGCTGATTGAGGCCCTGAATTCACAAACTGCACATGAAAAAAAAAAAATCTGACTAAAAAATCTGTGCATGTTTTGGTTCTCCCTAAAAACCTAAAAAACAAGAAAACAAGAGGGCTTACTGGTAGATCCTGGGAGAGCACAAATACTCTCATCTGCTGGTTTTGTTTCCTGCTTTAGAGTGAATTGGATGAGAATCAAATACAGATGGCTGGAGATGATGTGGGATTGCCAGAAGACCTTCAGAAGATGGTGGCAGAAGATCAGGAGGAGGAAGAAGACAAGGACTCTATCCTGGGCCAGCTGCAGAACATCCAGAATATGGACATGGATGCCATCAAAGAAAAGGCACAAGCCACCTTCACTGAGATGAAACAGGCAGCTGAGCAGAAATGTTCCATGATGTAGATGAGCTACCACTGCCCAAAGGCTGCAGAGGGACAGCAGGCAGAGAGATGCACTTAGCTCTATAGCGTTCAGTGTAAATATAGAAAAGTGATGACAGAGAGACTTAAAACCCTGAGGGAAGAGTAAAAATTTACCTGCTGGGACTGCCTAGAAGGAAGTTAGAACTGATCCTCAGTTTTGAACATAACTTTTTCCCCCATGGAAAAAATGGCTTTAAAGAAGTTAATATTGGGGAAAAAATGTGCCTTTTTCCATTTTTTCCACATGACTGAAATGCTGTTAAATGTGTATGTTCAAACAAAATTGTTCTTCTGATACATCACATAGAGGTAACCACTCATTTAATCCTGCTTTCAGAAATAAACACATATATTTCTTATAAAAACATGTCTGTTTCAAGCATCTTGAGGCAAACACAGTGTTCAGATATTGACATTTGCTGCAAAACCTTGATTTTTAAAATCCAAAAAGTGAAGCATGTAACTCAACAGTGTGGGTCAAAAATAGTGTCATATACACTGAGTGGGGACCTGTAGGAAAATAAGGCTTGCTGGCCCTCAGACCTGCTCTGGAGCAATGCAGGCTTCTCCAGTCTGCTTTCATTTCCCAGCCTCTCAAAGACACTTCAGACATCAAGGGACGGCAGTGACTTTCTGCTTGTCTGCGATGTGTGCCAAATTCTGGGACTGGGGGTACCGGCACAAGTCTAGAACCAGCTCCCCACCCTGATTCTGGGAGTTGTCTCCACCAAAGGCTAAACATAGAAGGGTAAACCAGGGAGGGGCACCTAAACCTGAGGAAAGGCATAGCTCTCACTAATATTAAATCTGCCTGTGTCTATGGGACATGCAGACTGCTACTCTCAAGAAATTCTAGAAAATTAATGGCTTTGTAAGGTCTCCAGGAGCTAGCCTGGAAATTACATTTGGAAATGAATACATGTAGTACCTTCCTAGAGGTTTGTACGTTTCTCTCTCTCTCTCTCTCTCACTCACTCTCTTTCTCTCTCTCTCTCTCTCCTCTCTGTCTCCAGCCAATCAAGTAAAAATAATCATTTTAAATTAACAAATTCACTAAGTATGATTTATCTCCTTTCTTTCCCTTTTCCTTCTTTCCTTGCTTGCTTCCTTCTTTTTCTCTTTGTCTTTTCTCCCTCCCTGTAGAGGGGTCAGCAGTCACCCACAGCTACACCAGGACAGTGACAAGGTGCAGACAGGCACAGCATCTCAGGGAGGATGTGAGCCTGTGCACAGCCTGCAGTGTTTTATTGGTGACTTGAAAAGGAAGCTGAATTCTCCTTTTGGCAGTCACCTCTGTGGTGAGGCAGAGAGAAGGGCAAGGGAGAGAGGTTCCCCCTCCCTCCTACTCCAACAGCTGCTGGGTGCCAAGGTGGCAAGGGAAAGTCCCCCTACCATCTCCTGGTGCACTGGCGCAGACACTGAGATACAGAAGAAGGCCAGAGAAAAACTGCTGCCTTTAAAAATCTCATTACCACTGACAATCACAGTGGTGCCTGCCTCCACGTCTGCAAAAAAACAGAGGGGGCAGCATGCAGTTTTGTGTGTTCATCACATATGGATCATGGTTAATTATGGCAAATCACATTTATTTGACAAATACATTTATTTGTATGTCTTTTAGCTATTT